GCGGGGGGGTTGCCCCCGCACCCCAACCCACATTACGATAACTCCCTCTGATTTGATAGATGCTTCCGCTACGCTTGCTCTGTTCTGCTCCAGCATCTGTTCCTCATCTGATATATGAGTCAAATCTAACAAATCTTCACCTTAGCAAATATCTAGCACTTTAGGAGAAAGTTACCCAGAGTTTCTCAAATAACAAAGTGGATTGAGCCACCGTGTTGTCTAGCAACTGTAAATATTCAACAAGTTTAGGCAATGCAAGAACTTGTTGATAATAACTGACTTGGTCAACATATCAGCTGCATTCTCATTAGTATGAATCTTCTGCAACAATATCTCACCAGAAATAATTAATTTTCTAAACTTGTGATACCTGATACCAATTTGCTTAGTTCGCTTATGGTACACCTGGTTCTTGACTAGATAAATGACACTTTGACTATCACAATGCAACTCAACTCCACCTTCCTCAACACCCAATTCCTTTACTAGCCCAGTAAGCCATAAGGCTCCTTTAGCAGCTTCAACTACTGTGATGTACTCAGCTTCAATTGTAGATAATGTCACAATAGATTGAACTGTTGATTTCCAATATATAGGCTCTCCACAAAGAGTAAACACATACTCAGGTGTAGGTCATCCAAATCACCTGCATAGTCTGAATCAACGTACCCCACAATTGGAGGATCATTCTGCTGATTGTCAAAAATAATTCCATGTTCTACAGTGCCCTTCATATACCTGAAAGTTCACTTGACCGTTTCCCAATGTCGGATTCCAGGTTTAGTCATATATTTGCAAACTTAACTAACAACATGAGCCAAATCAGGGCGACTACATACCATTGCATACATCAAGCAACCAACTGCACCGGCATATGTAACCTTTGCCATGTCTTCGATTTCTCTATCTGTCTTCGTACACTGTTCTGAAGAAAGCTTAAAATGATTTGCCAATGTAGTACTCAGAGGCTTTGCTTTGCTCATCTCAAACTTGTCTAGCACCCATGTTCTACAGTGCCCTTCATATACCTGAAAGTTCACTTGACCGTTTCCCAATGTCGGATTCCAGGTTTAGTCATATATTTGCAAACTTAACTAACAACATGAGCCAAATCAGGGCGACTACATACCATTGCATACATCAAGCAACCAACTGCACCGGCATATGTAACCTTTGCCATGTCTTCGATTTCTCTATCTGTCTTCGTACACTGTTCTGAAGAAAGCTTAAAATGATTTGCCAATGTAGTACTCAGAGGCTTTGCTTTGCTCATCTCAAACTTGTCTAGCACTTTCTGAACATAGTCTTGTTGAGATAAACACGGTCGTCTTAAGCCTCTATCTCGATAAATCTTCATTTCAAGAATTTTCTTTGTAGGACCCAAAACTTCCATATCAAATTTCTGGCTCAATAAAGCTTTCAAATCAAGTACGTCGTGTATGTTCTTTGCAGCAATCAGAATATTGTCAACATATAGTAACAAAAAAAATAATAGAACCATCATCAAAATTCTTGACATAGATACAACAATCATACTCACATCGCTTGTAACCAATTTGAATGATGTAGGAGTCGAACCGTTTGTAGCATTGTCTTGGATACTGTTTCAACTCATACAACGATTTCTTTAATTTGCATACCAGATGCTCCTATCCATGTTGAGTTAACCCTTCTGGCCGCTCTATGTGAATCTGCTCCTTCAGATCACCATGCAAGAATACAGTTTTAACATTCATCTGTTTCAGATGCAAATCTCAAATAGCTATTAATGCAAGTACTGCCCTGATTTAAGTATGTCTGACCACAAAAGAAAATATTTCATCATAATCTATCCTCTTTTGCTGTGAAAAATCCATTGCTATCAATCGAGCATTGAACTTTTCATTTTCTTTTTCTGATATTATTGCTTTTCTTTTGTACACCCATTTGCACCCAATAATTTTCTTTCCCTCGTAAAGCTAAAATAGTTCCCATGTATGATTTTTCTACAAAGACTCCATCTCCTCAATCATTGCACCCATTCATTTCTCTCTCTTGGCTGGTGATAGCTCCTTGAAAGGTGGTTGGATCATCACTGTTGATGAGAAGTGCACAAGAGACCAAGTCTTCATAACTCAATCTGCTTGGAGGCCTTATATTATTGTCTCTGTCTATCTCTGACTAGATTATAATTCTCCAAATCATCTGTAATGAAATCACCACGTGTTGGATTTGAATTTTCAACTCTCTCGGTTGTTGTTGAATGTTGTTCTAAATCCATCTGCACTATATCTGTAATATTCTCTGACACTTTGTTTTGATTTTGCTACAACATGAACTGCACATAAAAAATGACATGTCTATTGATCACCATCTTATTTATAATCGGATCTCAAAACTTGTATTCTTTGACACTTTTTATAGCCCAGAAAGATACATTTTTTGGATTTTAGATCAAGTTTTGATCTTTCATCGTCAGGTGCATGCACATAAGCAGAACAATTTAAAATTTGTAAACTATCAAAATTAACTGCATTGCCTGTCCATACCTCTTATGCAATATTGTCACCCAATGATACCCGAGGTGATCTATTGATAAGGTAGCACGTCATGTTTACAGCCTCTGCCCAGAAACTTTTAGGAAGCCCTACATTCAGTTTCAAGCATATTGCCCTTTCAATTAAAGACATGTTCCTCCTTTCTGTAATGTCATTTTGTTGTGGTGTCTTGCGAACTGGAAAATGCCTCTGAATCCCATGCTCCTCACAAAATTTATGAAACTGCGAATCTGTGTACTCCGTTCCATTATCAGAACTCAAATACTTGATTTTTCTGTCAGTTTGGTTCTCCACCTTAATTTTTCACAACTTGAATTTGAAGAAAACTTTTTTGGAGAAATCATCAATAAAGGTAACACAATACATCGATCCTCCCAATGATGATTTTCTGGTAGGGCCCCATATATCAGAATGCACATAATCAATAATCACTTTGGTTTTGTTTGAATTCAATGAAACTGGCTTTAGTCTGCTTTCCAAGAACACAAAACTTAAAAAAATCGAGCTTGCAGCTTTTAACACCATGCAACAAATTTCTTTCATGCAATTCAGCCATCCCATGTTCAATAAAATGACCAAGACGCATGTGTCATAGTTTTGTATTATCATCTGACTCAACAGAATGAACTTTACCTACAACCGTACTCCCCAACAGTTTGTAGATATTTCCTGCTGTTAACTTTTCATCCATCACAGTCAATGCCTTAATAATTCTGATGGTTTCTCCATCATCATCTATTTTAGAAATAAAATTATTTCTATGTAGAGTGACCAATGAAATCAATTTATTCTTTAAATTTGGAATACATTATTATCATACATCTTAATCCCGACTTCACAAATACCAACAATATTGCAACATCTTTCATCACTTTAATAAAAAGAGCCAGAATTAGATGACATGTATGAAATAAACAACTCTCTGTTAGGTGTTATGTGATGACAACATCCTGAATCAAGAATCCATGCATCCATGAACTGAGTTGATGAAACTGAAAGCATATCACCATCACTGCAATCTGAATTATCACTATGCACCACATTTACAGACTTGGATGATGCATCACGTTTCTTCTCAGTCTGCTTCTTGAACTTTGGACAATCTCTCTTTATATAACCCAGAACCTTGCACTTATAGCAATGAATCGTTTTTTTGCTTTTAGGCTTTTACCTGATTTTAATATGGAATTTTGTCTTCCATAACTCTTCTTTTTCTTTCTTCCACGATCCTGATTGCTCTTAACATATAAACCATCATCATGAAAGCTTTTTCCTGCATTTTGTTTCTGCTGGTTGTGAGCCAACAATGCTGCAATAATCTTATCTACTTTAATTATTTCTTTTTATATGTAAGAGTAGTCACCAGATGTTTATAAGAGGAAAGTAATTAACACAACATAATCATTGTTTGGTCTTCATCCTCAATACTCATATCAAGTCGTGATAAATCTGTGATTATTTGATTGAAGACATTCACATGCTGCGTCAGATTAGAGTCTTCTTGCATCTTCAGCTCATACACAGCTTTTGCTTCAGATACAATTTATTTATTAGATATTTGAGCATAAACTGAGTTTTCAATTTCTTCCATACTTGTCCTGGAGATGTTAGATTCATCACGTGATACATAACCTCATCTGTCAGACATAAACGTATGGTTGTTGTTGTTCGTTGTTGCAACTCTTCTTAATCTTTTTTCTACATGGTATCTGGTTTCATTTCTCACAAAGCTTTCAAGATCTCTTGCTGTGCCAGCAAATTTTTCACCATTGTTTGCCACAATATGAAGTTATCAGTTCTATCAAACTTCTTTACTTCGAATTTTGCACAAGATATTATCATCCGAGATTAGTCCCACCGTGATCTTTTCCTGTCTTGTGTTCTGCATATTCCTATTCCACCGAACCGTCGCGCGAAGATTTCTCTATCGCGAAAACTGCCGTATGAATCGTCTTCAAACCTTCTCATGTCGCGAGAATTTGGTCGCAGAACCCTCCCCTAGGCCGAAACCCTTTTCGAGCTGTTCGCAGCCTTGCTCGCAAGCCCTCTGCGTCGTCGAACCCCTTCGCCAAATTGCTTGCAAGCCCTTTGCGTTGCTGAACTCCTTTGCTGAATTCGTGAATGTCGCGATTCGCAGATTCGCGTGTTCTTCTCGTGTCGAACTGCTAGAATTCTAGTCGGACTTTTCTTCCAAATCGCCGTATCCTTCTTCGTCCTTCCTGCACCGATCTCTTCTGCCCTTAAAACTCGCTCAGATATCACTTGTTGAGAATTTGAGGGCAAAAAAAAAGGCAAGAATTGATGCAAATTCATAAAGAAATATAGAGATTTAACGAGATTCGACAAATATGCCTACGTTATCAGGAGCAGAGTGGCGACTTTTCCTTTAATTCAAAAAAAAAAAAAAAACAAAATCCCTTTAGGGTTACAATACATTATATATATATATATAGCTCTGGCGTACAATAAGTCATATAATATGTAATTTTAAAATTACTCATGTACCGTACCGTGGGGGTGTTGACCCCGCAACCCAACCCACATCCGGTTGGACGGATGCTTCTGCCATGCTCGCTCGCTCTCGCTCCGCTGGCTCGCTCCGCTCTGCTCTAATATCTATCCCTTATGTACGAGTCATATCTAACATTAAGTTATAATAATAAAGTTTAGCATTGCTGATAATTAAGTAAATATTGTCATTGGGTCAACCATGACAAAATGGCAATCCTAATTTTGAAAACCATTGAGCTGTTTTTTTTTTTTTTTTTTAATTCACACGCTTGTTTACTTGGTGCCATATTCTTTCATAATTTTGAAAATTTGCACATCGTATTTACTCACTGTAGTGGTTAAGGTTGAATTATGTTACCCGGCCTTAATGTATTAACAAATTCTGGTTGTGATTTTTTTTTGCATTATTTATTTCTGTGGTTTTTTTCATTAGGTAACTGAAGAAGAGCTTGCAGCACTCTTTGCGGATTGTGGGCAGGTTACTTCGTCCATCCATTACTCGATTTTTTTTTTCCTGGCTCTGCCATGTGCTGCTCTTAAATTCTTTTTCTTTTTATGAAGGTTGTTGATTGTCGCATATGCGGCGATCCTAACTCTGTTCTTCGATTCGCTTTTGTAGAGTTCACCGATGAAGGTAATTTTGTCTGCTACAATTTGGATATTGAATTATTGTCAATGCTTATATTTATGCAAACGGCTTTTTTATCATTTAATATGATGGATATGATTGTAAAACTTCAGAAGGTGCAAATGCTGCCCTAAGCATGTCAAGGACATTGCTTGGGTTTTACCCAGTAAGAGTGCTCCCTTCAAAAACCGCAATCGCACCTGTCGACCCTAAATTCTTGCCAAGGGTAAGAAAAATAATAGAACTGCCTGACTGGCTTACAATGTTAACCTTTGATGCTTTACTGAATCTCTGTCTGATATTACCTTGTTAATTATTTAATTTTTAGTCTGAAGATGAGCGTGAAATGTGCACAAGGACCACGAAATGTGTACAAGGACCATCTATTGTACAAATATTGATAATAAGGTATAAGTTCTAGATTATCTTGTTTCTCGTAGAAATAATTTTCTTCTTTTTCACCCATATTTATACATGTTAATGTTTTTATTGCTTAAAGGTTAACCAATCTGAGCTCAAAATTTTCTTCGAAAGATCATGCGGACCGGTTAGTTGTTCTGACTTCTGATTGCAAAAAAATTTCCTTGTGGGCAAAACAAAAATGAGAAAAAAGTGTCAAAGTGGTCCACAAACCTTTTTGCAAGACGTCATTTTAATTCTAGCGTCCATAAAAGTGTCAATTTAGTCCACATTCTTTTAATACAGGCTAAAATGGTCACTAATGAGGATTCTTTCAGTCCTATTTAAGGAGTTTGGAACTAACTTGACACTTTATAGACTGTGGGATTAAACTGGCCCCATGTAGTTTTTCAAACCTTGATTCTCATTGCAGAATTGAAATTAACTTGTTACAGGTGTATCATATGAGGCTGCTCGGAGATTATCATCATGCCACTCGCATCGCGTTTATTGAATTTGCAAGGGTTGGTATTTTCACCTTTCTAATCTCCTGTTGTCTTTCAAATATTCTTATAGTGTCGTTTTAATTTGTATTTTGTAGCTCAAACATGAAAATACATTTTGTAAATTGTATCATATCCGGTGCTTGTAAATGGAACGGAAATTTGTATTTTGTATCTCAAAAATGAAATTACATTTTCTGAATTGTTTCATCCCCAATGCACGTAAATGGAACAGTAGCGGAAGTGAGAAATGAAGATGGGAGAAGAAACAATTTCGATACTATTTCTAAAAAGGCATTATGAAGTTTATTGATTTATGCAGTTCAAACGATTATTG